GGAGCAAATGTTATTCTATTCTATTCATTCTAATCCAACATAAAAGCATTATAAAAAAATTGAACCAAAATGTAAATAATTTCAGCAATCAAACATCCTAGCTAGATGCATAAATTAAGTTAATAACACGTATTTAAATTCTATTTTTTTTTAGACAGACTTCATTGAACAATAACGTCAATAGACTTACCATATATAGTTTTACATGCAGTCTGTATGAACTGTAAAATATATATAGCGTATGATTATGTACATGCATGGAGGCGCATCGCGTACGGACCCAATGAGCTCGAAAGGCTATAATAAAACCTAAAAAATTCCGGCTAGCATTTTCGGCGACTTGTTATTCATTTTTTTTCGTATCTGTCACAGCTATTTTCCCGTTTGCGTCAATTCCGAAGAATAATTTCTAGACGGGTCCACTTCAGTCACACTCGTTGATCTTTTAATTCCTTTTTTAAGTGCGTGGAAATATATGGCTAACAAGACGATGCTGTATAGAAACTTGAGCATTTGAAATCATATGCATGGTCATGTCAAAACACTCTTTCAAAGGTTTCCTGTTTTCCGATGTCAAACGCTTGGAAAAATTAAGTCTTTGACTTAATTAAAAAAAGGTCGGATCGTTATTACCACGTACATGACCCCCGCAATCCTAAAACGGTTGCAAACACCCAACAATATTACTTAGCTGAAGAACTTTAATTTCATATCTCGTTTTCTCTGCAGGTGCTGGTCCTGTAACAAAAAAAACAGCTCGCAAAGTTTGGAATTCTTAAAGGCTCTAAAAGCTTTAAGAGCTCACGGCGGTGGCGATTGTGCGGAATTGGCCTTCGAGGGAATGATGAACGCACTGCAGGCTGGTCCCCAACCCGGCTCGTCTATGTATGTCTTCACTGATGCTCCTCCCAAAGATGCGACTGAAAGCAATAAAAATCTGGTCACTGACCTTGCCTATTTAAACGGGGATATAAAAATAAACTTTTTTCAGCGCAAAAATTGCGGTAACACTACAGCCTACCAGTCCTACACGGATCTTGCGAGCGATACTGGTGGACGTGTATATGAGTTGCGTTCCTCTTACGAATTGAAACAACTAGGTGAAATGGTTGCACGAGACCTACGAGGGCAGGTTACCTTAGGATCCAAAGATTGGGGCTGGGTGGCAAGCGGACGCCGTAAAAGGGCTTTGAATATAATGTACTCTATACTAATTGATGACTCGTTGAAAAAAGTATCCATTATGGTCGTGGTTGAATATGATCGAAGTGGTATAAAATTATACGATCCAAAGGGAAATGAGGTTTTAGGTGGCAGAGTCTTTCTAAGCAAAGGCGTGGTTTATGATATCGAGAAGCCATCCACAGGTGTGTACAAGCTGCAAATATCCGCAAGTTCAGGAAAACACAAATACAAAGTGGATGCTGTGAGTGGAGTCAACATCGACTTTGGTCATTACTACGTGTTCATTGCAGAACGTGGGTATCGTGTTCCCATTCCTTTAGACCAACCACTTCAAGGTGTGTTCTACTTAGAATTAAATCTTAGCTATGTAGCTACATAGTTTTAAAAAATAATTCCCGCACAGGTAAACTTGGCCAACCTGTCCCATATAGCTTGATTGGCAATTTAAGTTAATTCATTAACAAGGATTTTTTCTACATCCCCTATTATATTCCTTCCTGCTTTTTTCCTATTTCGGCAATATTTGATGTGCGAAATTACTCAGTTTGTGTATTTTTAAACGGGTCCAGTGCATGACCATGAATTAGGTTGCACATGGATAGACCCATGCAGTTTGACATGCATTAGAAGGGGATGCAGGATTCATTAGGGAGGTTAAGATCGACTTCCGCTACGATTACCCATACCAATAATCAGTCACGCGCATGCGCAGACGTGACAATCGTCCAAAATATGATAACACTGGAAGTCGCGAGTACCGTTTTGGGGTTGAAAATGGAAGTGGATGGGTAGGCGAAGTACCGAATTATATTCACTGTATTATTGTCATTTTCTGCAGTAGTTTCTAATAATATTATTTAGTTTTTAGTTGTAGTCGGTCGAAGTCTGTCGAGCATCAGCATGGTTGCAAAAATTCACAGTACGTTACAATACGGGGAAGAAATCGCACAGCAACCCATTCCCACATTCCGGGTTTAGAATGTATAATTATGTCAACACTTTTACAACAGATGCGTATTTCTTATCTTTTAGGATTCGATGCAAAGGCGTTTATCACGGTAGCGAGTGCTAAATCGGTGAAATCCAACTCATTGAGAATTCGAGTTGTTGAAAAAAGAGGGACCATTATGCTGGTTTACCTTTGAGCCCTGTGAACAAGCGTGCTCGGTACTTCGTGAAATTCAAGCCCCCTTCTGGACAATTTAAACTCCTATTGGAGGGAAAAACATTAAAAGGAGTTCCTTCAAACGAGAGTCGTCAAAGCTCGATCAAGCCGTGCCCGTCCTTCTAAAGTTGTCACATAGGGGAATTTCCAATGTTCTTCTTCGAGGTCGGAGAACCAGCTTTATTGTCCAAATTCTTCGAGGAGTTACTGGTCCTTATGTGCAGCCGTACAAGTTAAGTTTAAAGGATGATCGTGGTTATGGCAGCGTGACTCTAACACCAAGTCCCGTTTACCGTGCGCGAAGAGGCTTTGCGAGAATCACCTTCCTTGTTCCTACCAAAGCTCCAGCTGGGAAGATAGAGAATGTCAAACTCTCGCTGATACAATCCGAATCCCCTGTTGCTACCTTGCTTGTTTCCTTCCTTCTTGTATGAAGTTCAAATGTTGAACGCATTACATATATCCTTAAACTGAATACTTTAGACTAGTCATTGTACGATGTTTTCCTGTTTTGTATCATGTATGTGTGTACGTTTATTGACGTTAATAAAGTTTAGTTTTGAAAAGGAATCTTGTACGTTCAACAATTTAAACGGGGGGGGGGGAGGACTGGGGGGTATTTTTGTACAATCATCTATGTCAGACTGATTTATCATAAAACGATGTTCCAAAAATAAAACAGTGTGTTTCTTTTCGATCGCTCTTAATAAGTAAGAGATAGCTGAAATGCGCCTGCTTATCGCAGGATTTCTGTGATTGTCACAAGCTATACAAATCATACTATTAAGTTCAAAATTTGTCAGGACTAGGTAAAGCCTGTTCACCATACCAAAATCTTTCCCCAGGTCAGGTCCAGGACATCTTCTACTTTTGGCCTGGATTTTGTAGCCTAGGCCAGGTCCAGGCTGGTCTTAACAACGTTCACATCTAGGGCTAGGCCTGGTCCAGGCCAGGTCAAAGTACGTAGTGTAAACGCGGCGTATATAGTCACACAAATCGCTCAAGCCACCCCGCAACAATTTGTTGGATTTGATCCTTATTTACCCTCCATTACTGCATGACGTAGACATTACCATCATGGAAGCTGGTAAAGTTAAAAAATTACCATAGGCATGTTACCTTTCGGTGAATGCCTAGGTTTTGGAAGCGCTATTTAGGTTGCAACGTTTTTCATTATGACCCTAAAAAAGGTGAGTCCAACTGCATTTCATCGAAATTAACTTCAACGTGTCAATTACAAAAACTCCAGCAATCCAAATGCCAACCGCGACAAAAATTCCAGATTAATAAGGCATTGTTTCTCAAAGCTATATAACATTCCTAAAGCAGGGAACGAAAATCTCATCTTAACCCTGTTCAAAACCACGATGATCATAGGGATATCCAATTGAAAAGTAAAAAGACAGACGAATCTACCCACGAGCCTTATTAGAAAGCCCTCGAGCCTTCACATTGTTATGAGCAGAACCGATGCGCAGAACGGACTTGACGTCTACTATGATTTTAATTATTTGGTACTTTTTGTAAGTGAGTTCTCAGTAATCAGAAATTGTTAAACAGCTGGTCTTAAATACAAGTCGAAGTAATTCGCAAATCTTCAATAAAACAGCCTTTATTCTATCGCCATGTTTGATTGCTGCGAGCGAAGCGAGCAGCCCTACATTCTTGACGGGCATCTCGATTTCAGCGATTTTTGTTTGTCAGGATGATTTTTTGAGCACACGTACCATAGACACATAGAACGGCGGTTTCATCCTATGCAAATGCGTGATACTTCATATTCGCACTTACGTAACTTATGTGCGATCTCAACTCCGGGAGAATTCTCTTCTTCAGCATAACCGCGATAAAATATTGCATACGTTCATCATAATATAAACAAGTTTAAGTTTTTGACACGCAATATTGCCATTACTATCCTGAAGACTACCCAAGATATGGTTGGGGGAAGGAAAAGGTACTACGTGTATTTACTCGCAGCAGTTTCACTTACAATTTGTAATTCTAGTCTAAGGATATAATCTACAATTTGTACGGATATTAGATTCTCTTAATAAATCGTTTGAACTGTTGTCTTGAATAATTTGGTGAAAATATGTAAACATAGTTTAAATCGCAATTTCACAAATGAATTCGATACAAACCCATATTTCAAATCCGGCGAAATATCGTAAATATAAAGCGCTGTTACAGTATCATCCCAACCTACCCATGTTCGTCCCGTGAAACAGCTTGTGTTGATTGTTGATTCAAACGAGGGCGTATTTTGGGTGTGGTGTTCCCTCGTACCCAGGTCGGGTCTTCCCGAGTACTACGTAGCCTTTGATCGAAGGTGCATAGTTCATTTATGTGCGGTATGCATTATTATGTTATCGCTGTTATCGACTTATCGTCGCATTAAATGTAGTATAACATTATCTTATTACATCTGAAATGAATTCAAGTTTGAATTTTACTTACACGCACCGCGTGAATGCTGTACGTTCCACTAAAAGCTATTGAAAAAATCTCTCTAAAAGCTATGCAATTTGCGATTGATTCGTTTCGTTTCAAATGCTCGTGCACATTGGTCCTTTTCTTGAAATCTGATCTGCAAGTTTAATATTTACACACAGCTTCTTAGAAGCGCATATTTTGAGTGCGCTTTGTCCTCCCCGCATTCCGTTCAAGCGTCTGTTTCAGTGATGGCGAAGTTTATTCTCATGATTGCTTTCAGTGTGCTAGTTTGCGATAATATTGGCCGTGTGTTATGCGCCAGTAAATGCAAGACTCACGCTGATTGTAAAAGTCTTTATATTCATTATCGTTGCTGCGGTGGCTCAATGATTTTAGGAGGCGACGCCAATGTGAAAGAGCGAAGTTGCTGGTTTAGTTCGTGTTTATATCGCTATTGTGCAAACGACAGTGATTGTAGCGATCAATTGTGTTGCCGGTCAAACAAATGCGTCAGAAAAGGTTGCAATGGATGTGCTAAAAATTCAGACTGTAATATTGGTCATGTTTGTTGTAAAAACACTTTACCTTTGGATCAAACTGTCTGCGGCGACAACTGTATCAACCAAACCTGCAATTCCAACGATGACTGCGCTGGCCAACAAGAGTGTTGTCGATCAGGGAAATGCACTCGAGGCTGTAGTGAAAAGTGCGCATCGGATTCTGAATGCAATCTAGACGAATATTGTTGCAACAAGCGGCAGAGGTATTGGGGAGATAACTGTGCTAAAACTTGTGTTGGTGAGCTTTGTACTACAGACCGGGATTGTGGGGCTCGAAATGAATGTTGTATCTCTAATAAATGTGTTGATCGTGGTTGTTCTGGATGTATTACTAACTCGAACTGCAGCACCGGGCATTACTGTTGTAAAGAAGGACAGAGCTATAGTGATAAAATCAGCGTGTGCAGTGTAAACTGCATTGGGAAATTTTGCAGAACGACCAAGGAATGTGGTGGCCCGGGCGAAACTTGCGGCTCGAGTAACAAATGCGCAGTACAAACTAGCAAAGCATCCTCGACCAACTCTTTTCCGCCATGGCTAATCGCTGTTCTCACTATAAGCCTAGTTGTATTTTTTACTGCTGTTGGAGTTCTGGTGGCTGTGTTTGGTACGTCAAAAGAACGCGTTCGGCCAATGCCGGCTCTCAAGCGGGAACCGTATCTTTACAGAACACACAATTTCAAGGAGCAGGAATTCCAAGTCATCAACAGAACACTCAATTTTCGCGTTCAAACGCTCAAATCCAATCTAAAAGTCCTGTAACATCTCCGCAACGGGGAAACGTTTTTATCAATCCTGCTCAAAACCGCGATGATCAAAAGGATGCCTCGCAATATTACAATACACAACACGAGCCCTTTTATAATACCCTCGAGTCTACAGACACTTCCTAACTATCTAAAATAGCAGTGGAAGGCAGCAGCAAGTTTCTGCAATTGTTTAAACTTCGTAATATTTTATCTACAAAAAGTGTACTGAATGACATTGAAATAGATGCTAGTCAAACGCCGTTCACGTGACAAGCGTTCACGTGAGCATTGTAATTGGACAATTAGTATAGCTATTTGAAAATCTACAGAAATTAATTATTTGCTTTACTGACATTTGCTATTTAATATTAAACAGGGAGGTATAATCCGTGGTAATAATACGGGGTATATTCCCGTATAACTTATTATAACATCTGGATTTAGTCTACTGGTCTGTCAGGCCACAGCATGACTAATTTTTGTATTTTGCACTATGTCACATGCCGAATTATTAGTGTATTTATTAGGTTAATTGTAAGATCTTGTTCACAGAAGTATAATGTTCGAAAATTTTACTAAATGTTGATGATAAATATTTCAAGTATTGAAAAGACCAACTTGACTATTGCGTAAACGCCTTAAACAACAAACAAGATATGGCGCGAGCTTCTAAAGCCAACCCACATTTCTAACTTAATTACAAAGCTGAATAGTTGGTTAAGGATCAGCCTATTCTGGTTGATGAAGTGCATGTGCAAGTTCCCGCGCGAGAGTCAGTCGGCCTCTTACATCTCGTTCAAAGCTTTGGCCTTCGATTTCAGTAAACTACGATCTGGCCCGCCCAAGCTCCGTTATTGTGAACCAGAATGTCGTTGTATTCCATGCTTGTAGCCAGAGAAAGTTTATAAATAAAAGCAGTAGATTGGCAGGTGCTTCAAAAAAAAGCGCAGGTTACTGTAAAACGACGGCTACCTACATTTCGATAAATTGAATGTTTACTTTAAACTAATGCAATATACTGACAATATTTACAGATATTCGTCTTAACTAAAGTTACTCTTAACGTCCAAAAATATTCACATATACAATGAAATATATTTAAAGAAAAAAACTTTAAAGTGAAGTAATTAAAAATTATATAAGAATGTGGAGTTCATGTAATAAGTCTAATAATGACATCTTGGGACTTGGCACGCAAATGCACTTCAATAAAAGACTCTGTACAGTTGTTGTTCAAAACTGGTCACTATTTTAATCCGCATTTTATGCTTGTCTTTGTTTCATTACAAAGATTAACGCGACATCCATGCGTAAGTTCTGTAGAATGATACTTAAATGTATTAATAACTTTTGAGTGATTGATTATTACTATGATAATATTATATGCAATAGCTTTTTTATAGTGTTCTTAGATCTTCTAACAAACTTTAGACCAAAACCATAAGATGAAGTTACAAGATATTAACACACAGTCAATCATGATACACGATACGATACGTACGGTGCAATGCAGCACTTCAAAAATTGATGGAATCGCTGGAACTCCACATCTTGCAGTTAAAACTAATTGCTGTGGGCCCTACAAAACAAACAGGCGAAACATAAAGAAGTTTTTTTTGTCTATTTTAGGCGGTTGTTATACCACTTTTGATGTAAATTATTGTGAATGTCTGCCTGTCGTTTCAGCTCGCATTGTCATTGTTTTCTAAAGGATATCAGATTGACATCTATATATGGATAATAGCTTCTCTATATAGAATGATATTATGCAGAGGAAATACTTGATCATCTCAAAATGGTAGTAGCTTCTGCGTGGTTTTTTTTGTGCGTGGTTTAGGGAATTGTATATATATATATATATATATATATATATATTATATATATATATATATATATATATATATATATATATATATATATATGATCTCATTATACAACCAGAGAGGTGCTGAATCACCTAACGCTCGCCTGCACTGTTTGTCTAGAATAAGGCTAAACTCTGTATGAAAGGTATCTGTATGAAGCACAAATTACCGATCTTTTTATTACAAATTACAAGGCTAAAATCCGCGTTGGAAGGTAATATTAAGCACAAACTTCAGATATTAGTTGTGACCTCAGAATTACTGGCCTCGGAATTACATTAGTTTTATTTGTGACCAATATTTCTTCCGTTTCTCGCAATCCGCGCACGTGATATCAACAGGTAAGTTAACGGACCAGGCAAAAGTCCCTGCTTTAAGCCGGGCGCACACACAACGATTTTACGGTAGTTGGTCCATTCAGGTTTAGACATATAGGCAGCCCTTGCCCAGACATGTTTTCCTTCTCGTGGCGCTCGCGCCTCGCGCGTGTACGCGAGTCTACTTGGTCTAATCTGACCAAGTATAGATTGCCAGTCGCCACATTTTGATGAAAACATCTAGTGGTGGGCGATACCGTGAGTATCGATTTCGATACGATACCAAGTACTTTTTCATCGATACCACTGGTATCGATACTTTTTCGATACCGATACTTGTCATTAGACACAAAAATACACATACTATCAGTAAATGTAATGTATTCTTACAACAACAATAATCATTCTTTACTGGTATCTAACTTTTCAAAATAATCCTAGACTACACTTTGTGGACGAACATTCGATATAGATCCCATTTAGGCCATTTGAGTAATTTTACAAAAAAGATTGCATTAAACTGAAGAACACCTGGAAAATGACTGGAAATAAAACTGTATTCATGCAAATATTAATAGAAGAACTTCATGTAACATCAAATATTAACAATAGTTTGACCACGTGACAAGTATCGAAAACATCAATATTTTACAAAAGTATCGATACCAGCTTTTGAGTTCTGAGTATCGGAAGTATCGATACTTTAATTTGGTATCGGTATCGCCCACCACTAAAAACATCCATCTAGACAATCTAGACAGGAATCGGCCGACTAAAATCGTCGTGTATGCGCCTAGCTTTATGAAATAAACAAGATTGGATTTTTATATCTACACAAAAAAGGATTATGCATCAAACAACGAAAAGGTATGTACATAAATCTTATAGGTGCTTTAATAATATATTTGCATGTGTATCTACATAAATAATATGCAAATATATGTCACATGCGTTGCCATTATTTGCCTTTGCATTCCGAGCCTATCGGCTTTCTACTTATAATACTTATGTGCTAAAGCTTGTAATTGCGAATTATCTGACAATATTCTTTAAACTTTAACGTTGGACTATGTTTTATATATTTTCACTCCCTGAATGATTTCTATATTAAGCGATTGAATTTTGATACGGCATGTCACAACACAATCTCATAATTTATAATTGTACATGTACAATACAAACAAATGGTAGCATACAGGTGAAAATATTTGAAAGTTTCTCATTTGGCTTAGGGTTGTACAAATAGTTTCGTTAAATATGATTCAGCTACAACTTTGAACTAAAAAAAACAGGGCTACACAATAGCCCTGAAAATCGTAATGAGCGTGATAACTCTGGATAACTCTAACATTGACCTTATCATGATGCTAATAAGCTTAACATTTGCCTTATCATTTGATAATTTTGAGCAAAGCTCTCTTTATTATTTTATAAATGTGTACCAAATGGCACTGAATAGTCACAATGCATATCTATGACTTATATTTATGATGATTCCTCTGATGTAAAGCCATAATATTTAAAAAATATAGCATCTTAACATTGACCTTATCATTATGCTAATTAGCTTAACATTCACCTTATCATTTGATAATTTTGACAAAATTCCCATTATTTTTGTGTAAATGTGTACTAAATGTCACCATATAGTCACAAGACATATCAATGAGCTATATTTATGATGAATCTTCTGATGCAAAGCCAAAATATTTAAAAAATATAACATCTTAACATTGACCTTATCATTATGCTAATTAGCTTAACATTCACCTTATCATTTGATAATTTTGAGCAAAACTCTCTTTATTATTGTATAAATGTGTACCAAATGGCAATAAATAGTCACAATGCATATTGATGACTTATATTGATAATGATTCCTCTGATGTAAAGCCAAAGTATAGAAAAAATATAGCATTTTAACATTGACCTTATCATTATATTTTGTTGTATAATGTTCACTCCCCCCTGGTAAATGGTTCTTTTGCAACAAATAGACTCCTTAAGTAGATAAGTTGAAAATAATGGGAAAATAAAAGTGGCATCTTAACATTCTACTTATCATGTAGTGTGGACGCGGACGGGGACGAGGACGGGGACGGGGACGGGGACGGGGACGGGGACGGGGACGGGGACGGGGACGGGGACGGGGACGGGACGGGGACGGGGACGGGGACGGGACGGGGACGGGACGGGGACGGGACGGGGACGGGGACGGGGACGGGGACGGGGACGGGACGGGGACGGGGACGGGGACGGGGACGGGACGGGGACGGGGACGGGGACGGGGACGGGGACGGGACGGGGACGGGGACGGGGACGGGGACGGGGACGGGGACGGGGACGGGGACGGGACGGGGACGGGGACGGGGACGGGGACGGGGACGGGGACGGGACGGGGACGGGGACGGGGACGGGGACGCGGACGCCAAGACTATAGCAATAGCTCTCTTGCACTAAAGTGCAGGCGAGCTAATTAATGGATCGAATAGGAACGAAGCAGGAATTAGCCTATACTTCCGAAAAGCCAGAACACAGCAAAGCATCGCTATTAATACACTCTGAAGGTTCTCACTCACTCTGAGTCACTCATCGCAATTTTGTCGAGTAACTTTGTCGAATTACAATGCTTGACAGTTTATGTTAATTAGATGCAAACATTATAGCAGAGAGCTTGCGAGTTGGCGATGAATGGAAAAAGCCTTTACTGATAGATATAGGACCCAATGCAAACTGAATCCCTAACTACTAAAATACATGCATGCATATAGATTATAGTTACTCAGAAAGACCCTTCCTGGGTTCGCGTGATAGTCTTAATTCTGGCATTGTTTTTCATAGCCATACTCTTGTTGTAGCAAATGTGTTTAATGACTGTGACATTTGTAAAAAAATCATATTAACTTTCAGACATTGATATAAGTCTTAATGCAGTTGTAGCTTACTATGTTGTGTTTGTAATGGTTAGAATTTTGTACCACAGAATAGCGTCTTTACTACATTATAGTCAGTCTTCTGGAAGGAAATACGTTTAAGTACAAAATTTATGGAGTCTGCAAAGTATTTCATATGCGTTTCAAAGACAGGCTATTAGAGTGTCTGCTATTTTACGCGCGTTGACACACGGCTATTCAAACAACAATAACTGCGTTGTGGATCGAATTTAAAAAATCCCCGCAAGGAAATTCAAGAAAAAGTCACGCTTTGTCACAATTTTTAGTTTTGGAGTGAAAAGTTTAATATCGAATGGCACTATCGGAGGGCTTAGAACATGGTGATTGGTCAAGGACGAAAAATGTAAATAAACGAACAGATTGGCTAACATTATTCACCTTTGTTGATCTGATCAAAATTCCTAAAGCGGAACACGAGTTAGTAGGGCTCTTGTTTTATGTAAAAAAACGCATAGTATTTACGTAGAAATGGAATCTTATTTTGCTGAAGGAAGTTGATTTTGTGTTTGGCTTCCTTGTCTGCAAAGGAAGTTGCAATGCCAAGACAAGTGTTGAGTGTATGCTGCATGATCACTGGTTACTAACGTTCTGCCGTGCGCATATAAGTGGAAGGGATCAGCATTTCTTTCATTCGAATCTTGAAGTATTGGATTGGGTGAATTATTGGAGCTTATAATTTACGCATTTGTAAATTTTAAAGAAAGCTAGTTCGAAAAAGGTATGTCGATTATTGCATGCTTAGCAATTTCGATCATAATTTCTTTCACGCAATGTTTAATTTTTGTTGAACCGAATTATTCACATGTGAGTATTGGACGTTATAAAATAGCATACACGCACTATATACACGCACAATAACCAATATGGTTGAAATTTACCAAATTAGCGATGCCTGAATTTTAGCGATAACACTTGTGAGCAGATCTTTCACTACACAGAGAAAATGTCCAGCAAAATTAGGTGCTGGTTGTATCAAGTCCGTTTAGCTTAAACGGTGGATTAAAGTCAAAATTGAATAACACTCTTACATCACTCTTGAATGAGTCAACTTGAATATTATACACAGTATCTTTGTATTAAGGTTGAAAACATATAGTTTGCTTCTTGAATAAAACGATAGACTTGATTTGTCGCGCATACATATGTGTGTAAAGGAGGGTGTATATTTTTTTCAACTCATCAACTCGTAAACTCATCCGTAATACTCTGTTATAGCTGTTAATTCACGAGAACTATGAAAGGATACCTGACCACTTTGCCGTTCTGTTTGCTGTGGCCTCCTTTTTGTTGGTAGACGCTGCACCCCGTGCACAAGGTTAGTAAAGAAGGTGTGCGTAGCTGTATATTGCATTGGTGCCGGTTATATATATCAAGCCCGTCTAGTTTAAACGGTGGATAAGCTCAAGTGAATAGAAAGCAAGTTTATCGTTTCGTTCAGAAAGCGACCTAAATGTTTTTAACCTTAATACAATGATACTGGTTACAACTACATATTCAGTGCATAATATATGGTGGTTGATACAACTTGCCCCTGGACTCGATCTTCGAAACAAAAATGCCGTGTTCTCTCCAGGCAATGATTACAGGGTCTCTATTCCAAACCCACGACTATTTGTGAACCAAATTAATGCATTCAACAATGCTAATTACCTACCATCCTGTAATTTTATTTAGATAACTAATTAAGTCTTATTGTTCCCCTATAAAACAATGTACCAATTTCGGTACAGGGCGATATTGTGCTGCATCGTGTAAGGCAATCTAAGAGACCTGAAAATTATACTTCAGCTTAATTGCTCAGTGTAACTGCCTTTATAAATTATAGAAATTCTCCAAATGTATGTTTTTGTTAACCGTTAAAAGATTTTTCGTGAGTCACTCGCAATAAAGCCGGTTTTCCACTATAGGCGGAATTTTCGATGGAACGATTCGCTCGATTTTCTTCTTTAATGTGACCGGTGAAGAGAATACGCTAGGATGGAATTTTCACAATTGAAAAGAATATCGGACGAAAAATTTAGTTCGGTGGAAAAAATTTCGTCTAGTGCATGGAAAACCGGCTTAAATGTTGTCGATTTTTTTTCCTTTCGCAGTAAAGCGCGGCTTCAAATCGTATTTTGAAAACTACTTGGATGAAATGGCAACAAGTGCTTGTGTTGCGATGGGAAATACCGTACGTCTGTACTTTGCAGTTCGTCGAACTTGTAGTATCAAAAGCAAAGAAACATGTCACAAAGTTTGCACTTCGCAACAAGTAAGAAAGGAAGGGCAAATCTGGAACTCCAAAAAGTAAGAAAGAGTAAAACAACAGCGAATATGAATACCCGAATTTAATAAATCCGATCGAAAGCTTATTATTACTTATATTTTACATTAGTTGATTTGAATTGACTGTATTTGATTTTATCATTTTATCATTTGATAGAATTCGATGAAATATAATTAATATAGTTTTATATAACTCCTTCAATAATATAATATCTTCTAATTTAATTGACTGTTTTTGATCACGTGGCATATTTAAAAATTTCCATTTTACGGTCTGGCTGTGCGAATAATTTTTTCCATTGCACAGTTGCTTTCACTATAGTGAATGATAAGTAGAAATTACTCAAACAAGATAACTCGAATTCTTGAGTTATTCTTACTCAAATAAAGGAGTAAAATTTATTTTACTCAAGCAGTGAGTATATTTAACTCAAATGTTTGCATAATATTGAAAAATACTCAATAATTGAGTAAGATTTACTCGTGGATTTTTGCAGTGTAAATTATCAATAATTACTATTATTAATATAATTACCATTATCATTATTAATATAGTTATTATCATTTCACTTTTATTATTAAGTTGATCTTTTTGGTGTCATATACTGAAACAAATAATGAATGATATATTATATATTCTTGGCATTATATATTCTTGGCTTTTTTTCTATAGGCTGCTTAATACAAGGTGTGTGGAGTCATTACATGTCTACAAGAATCGCCCATCGTTGGCTGACAATAAGTTGGCTGATACAGATGTGAACAAAGTGGGCCTAGCAATTTACCGTTACCATTCTTGCAACACTGGTGGTTGCGGTCCTAACTACTGCTGCTGTTCAGGGCCATACAGTTCCTAAATTCAAGCGTACTTTAATTTTAAACGATACATAGTCCAATCGCTTAAGTTCACTTGCTCTGTATTGAATATGTTTTGCAATAAAAATTCTTTGCTTTAAACGGTAAAAGGCTTTACAGAGAATGTGCATAATTCTCAGCTCAAATATATAGTTTCAGTATACATGCATGCAATTATGCATGGTGCACTATGTGCCAAAGCTTTGACATACAAATGAAAAAAACTATCAAAAGAGTTTTAAAAAGCTAAAATTTTAAAGTGAATCTCCGGAAAATGCGTATAGAAAATAATTGTAATCTCTAGCTGGTCGATTGGTTTTCTGCCTCTGCCACTTTGATAGTTCTGTAGTGTCCGTGTGTTTGACGACGCTGATAAAAGTCGTGTTGTATATTATAGTGGTGGTAGGCTTTGTTGTTCCTTTCAACTTGTAATTGTCGACCTTGATTTTCGTAGTTTTGAGTAGGTTTGAGATAGAATCCACGATTCTCGTTCCCCTGTCGTGCATGGGATGTATTTTTGCCATTTAGGGATACGGTGGTTTGCTGGTTAGAAGAGCCCTGCGTTACATTCGGGAATCTTTGAGGGTCGCTAATTGGATTGTGGACGTTGTTAGCCAACATTTTTGTAATCGACATGTTGAGTTTGATTACGAGATGCAGTGGGATTGTTAGGACCAGAAGGTCGGGTGTTTTGTTGCTGACTCGAAATACCCGCGTTTTCATATTGTGTGTTTTGGAAAGATAGTTCCGTTCTCGCTTGAGAAGCATTCGCCGAACGCCTCATTTTGACGTACCTAAACACAGCCACTAGGATTCCAACAGCAATAAAAATTACAACTAAACTTGTGGAAAGAAAGCGATCAGCCATGGCGGAGAAGAGTTAGTTGAAGATGCTTTGTTGTTTTGTACGGAACATCTGTCACTTGAGTCGCAAGTCTCGTCCGGGCCACCGCATTCTTCGCTTCTACTACAAATTCTTCCAATGCAATTTGCACTACACGCGCGGAGATCATCACCATACCATGAATGTCCTCTACAACAGTAATGCCCGATGCTGCAGTTGAGTTAGTAATACATCCAGAACAACCACGATCAACACATTTATTAGAGATGCAACATTCATTTTCAGCCCCACAGTCCCTGTCTGCAGTACAAAGCTCACCAACACAAGTTTTAGCACAGTTATCTCTTTAATACCAATAGTTTTGCCGCTTGCAACAGTATTGGTCTAAATTGCATTCAGAATCCGATGTACACTGCCTATGCGAGTACACTTCCCTGATCGACAACACTCTCGTTTGCCAGCGCAGTCATCGTTGGAATTGCAGGTTTGGTTGACACAGTTGTCGCCGCAGACAGTTTTTTCCAAAGGTAAAGTCTTTTTACAACAAACATGACCAATATTACAGTCTGAAGTTTTAGCACATCCATTGCAACCCTTTCTGACGCATTTGTTTGACCGGCAACATAATTGATCGCTACAATCACTGTCGTTTGCACAATAGTGATATAAACACGAACCAAACGTACAGCTTCGCTGTTTCACACTTGCGTCGCCTCCTGAAATCATTGAGCCACCGCAGCAAAACGGTGTCAGTATACTGCTATCGCAATCTGCGTGATTCTTGCATTCATCGGCGCAGGTAACACGACCCAAATTATCGCAAAGGAACAAACCAAAAACAATTACCATAAGCCACCGCGCCATCATACGTAGACGCTTAAATGGATGCCGGCCAAGAAAATAACACAAAGCCGTCTCTAAGAAAACTTATTTAAATATTAAAACATCCATATATTGTGGCGAGATATATCGTTTTGTTTTAGAAAGCATCTTTTAGAACCCGTATTAATTTTTGAAAATAGACCGGCTATACACGTTAAATCCGAATTAAAGTCCGAAGACTTTCCGATCTCATGAAGTCGTAGACGCGGAGTTATTATTACATTGAACCATATTAATCGTCACTCGCTCTATTATGATGCGAGCACTTTTAATTCATACACTACTGAGGTTAGCAACAAGTGGGAAGTTTGTTTGAGGCGAGTAATCTTGCATCGTAAAAATTTGAATGACGAAAATCCAGACCCCTACCATAGTTTGCAGGGGCAGCATGTTAACGGAGATTTTTGCTACATTTTATAAAGTCTTTGTTATCCGTCAACGACAGGGAGCCATGATTCACCGTTGCACGTTTCTTTACATTTTATGTTTGAGTTGTGCCCCGCCCCCCTGCACTTATGTGTTTTGACTGGCAGCTGAAATTACGGAGTATTCAAAGCTTCCTTTTACAGACATCTGTGCTATCGTGCAGGTATCATTTGTGCTTTCATTTTCTGCCCGCATGCGCAGCAGGCGATCAAGATATATGTAAGCAAAAGCACGGATTAATATTTTAAAACAATATTGGACCAAACTGCAAGAAACATTAACTTTATTAATAAAAATGAACTTATTATTTAGCTACAATCCCTAATTTTAGTTTAAATGTATTGAAACTGATCGTCCCATTTATAATTTTCTCTTTCTATAAGCAATCGACTATATGTTTGCTCACTTAGCGAAGATATTGGCTGATCAAAACTCCCTCAATGAATACTAAATAGTTAGCTAGTTTGCTGAAGGTTATAATTATATAAAGTTGGCAAAAAATCAAGTACGTGGTCTTCTTCACAAATCACAAGCGTTTGCTTTTCCCGGCTCATGCTCACATCCCTCAGATTTCTTATTTCCATACTTGTCAGTGATCACCACTCTCAAGACATCTGTATCTGGGTAACTCCAAGTACCAAATGCGTACATTTCACTTTTTGACCCAGACAACACAGTCGTCACATCCTGGAAGAGTTCCTGATCATTGCTCCATTTCGCAGAGTATTTCCCCGAAAACTCGAAAATTGCTTTCCACTTGTACTCCAAGTCCTGGACAGTTCTCAGAAGGTTGATGGTGATTTCAGTGTCTTTCGGTACTTGAATGGAAACATCCGTCTTATCCGTAGTCGTGTACGTTGTTGTAATACTGGATTCGACGTTAAAATATTTTGTTTTCGTAACTTCAATCCGAAGGAGGCCCCGATACCAAACTTAGGTGCACCGACTTGCGCAGACCCCAATGTTGTCACCGCCACAGAGAATCCTGAACCGACCTTTAAGGTGGATGAAGTTGATACAGATGTCGTGAGCCATTTGGTACACTTGTATGGATGGAATGAGCGGAGCATATGACAGGACGAAAGCCTGGGACAGGTTCAGGTTTGGCGACGTTCAGTGGCGATTTGTCTTCGATGTTGAATTTCAATGCATTAATTGCCAACATGTTGGAGCGATCGGAGATGGCATTGCATTTGTATGTTTCGCTATCAGCAGAATAATCCATCGCATTCATTGAGCACTGCTTGAGCTGTCCTTGATCTTTAACTTTTATCACAAGATCCGGTCTTTCCAGCCACGAGTAACCATTGTAAGCTCCCATTTTGCAGCATTTAAACTCTTCCAGGCAGTATAATTTGTTACATGAGTTCCTGAATAACCCCACCATGTAGTATCCAGGTTTACAATCGGTCCATCCTCTGTTATTGAATGACTTCCAGGCATTGTGATTGTAACATTCTCCCCATCGTGTAACCTGGGACTTCGGTTTGCAGCATTTGGCTTCTTCGATGTGGTATAGTTTATTTCCCGAATTTCGCCAGAGTCCGGTCATGTAGTAACCGTTACTGCACGTAGACCAACCTTTCTTGTTGAAACTTTTCCACCAGTTGTGGTCGTAACAATACTGATCCTTTTTTGCAGAATACAGGTCGCCAGGCGCATCGACACAATATGCTTGCTCAATAAGATGAATGTAATCATTGCTCCTTCTGCTGTTCCTGTATAATCCCGCCATGTACCTGCCATGCCCACACAGTGACCAACCTCGACGGTTAAACAATTTCGACCAGTCCTCCACGTGACTTCCTGTAGTCGGTCTTCTAACAAGCGATTTCATGTAATTCCGGAATCCTGTATTTGTCTGCCACTCGTGACTTAGTCTACGAAGTACTTGTTTCGCGACATCAATGTTGCCAACGACGCTCACGGTATAAGCACTGGGTCCACCGCAGCAGCTTTGAGCTCCACGACAGGACGACCACGATCGACATCTGCTGGTGCATTGACTGTCGTTCACTTTATTCCCCCTGGGATAGACATTTCCACACTGACATTGGTCCCCTTTCGTCGCCGCCAAAATGTAACCCTTTTCTCTGCATGTTTCTTGACACCTTACATTGGAGTTGTGACCCCACATCTGCTTTGTCAGATTTGCGGCTGGAAATAAGGAGTAGTAACCTTCAACGGCGTAGGAACTTACTGATCGTTTCTTCCGAGTTTCAACATCTGTCGTTGATGTTATCATTGGTATCAAAACGGTTAGCAAAAGAAATGCTTTCAGGAGAAGCATGTTGAATCTCTAAAAATAAACGAAACAAGTTCTCTTGAATGATCCGCAATTTTGAATAAACTAAAACCAAATTGTTTGTGGACTGTATAAAGACAGATTTGGTGGTTGCACTTTTTTACGCTAAAATAGATACGTAGCTATTACCATGCACTATATATTCAACAATTGTCCCCCAAAGGTGATTTTTTCATCTCGTCTTAAACTCGCGCATGCGCACAACTTCAATATCAAACTTTCGTAGTACTATCAAGAACATTTGCCTCAACTTGTGTCCAGTGCCCCGCACGCTATGAATAACGCGCAATATGACACTCGTATGTAAACAAAATGTCGCAAAGACCTAAGCGAACCTTACGTCAACCAATACGTTTTGCCAAACAATACGGTGACTTCACTTCTAAGCCTTTGTCTAAATACTCCAAAAAGTCCGCAAGTGATAAAGGTGTTTACGAGATTGAGGTACGAGAAGTAGATCGTGATAGAAACTTGTTGCGCATTCACTACAAGGGATACAGCGACAAGCACTTGAATACATAATGAGCAGCCAAACAATATCCAAACCCACATATTTGCGCTTATTTTGCCATCCCGAAATCGTCGAAAATATGCATAAATTTATTATCAAAATACGCGGAATTTGACGAGGATTCAAATTTTGGTGCTATCTTAAGGTATAGACCTGCGCACTACGTTCTAGAGCCAGTTTTCTGCAACAGACTGTACGCGCGGCTTGTTTCTTCCATACAAACCTGGACAAGTCGCGCATTTGCATCGGACAAGCGAAAGTGTCATTCGAAATAAGAATTATTTTCAAACGAAAGTGCATTATTAAAAGATGTCCCAGAACATATACTTTCCATTACCCCGATGCTTTCCAAATACGAATCTTAAGAGTACCAGAAGCCCAGGCGAAAAAACATTGTATATTGCAACACTTATATAGAAATATGATACGCGTACTTGGTCCTCTATTCTTTTTAGTTTACATTTAAGCGATTTGGCTGACTTGAAAGTTGTTGGCAAGTGGATGAAAATAAACAAGTTGACTTTGAATGTTTCCAAGACTAAATTCATGGTTATTGGAGGAAAGCAAAGGCTATCGCGTTTAAATTACATTAAATTGACAATCAACGAAGAATTAATTGACCAAGTTGACAAATTTAAATATCTTGGCATAATGATTAACGAAACATTTGAGTGGTCCGATCACATTGATTATGTCCAATCGAAGGTCGCAAAGGGGCTTGGCTTGCTAAAACGTGTAAAACATTTGTTACCGAGACAATCGAGAGAACTTGTCCATAAAACTGTGATCCAACCTATAATGGAATATGGAGATATTGTCTGGGGTGACCGATTTAATAATACCTTGATGGAAAGACTTAAAGTATTACAAAATAAAGCAACAAAAGTAATCCTTAATAGACCATTATATTCCTCAGCTAGTGATGCTATTCAGACCCTTGGATGGAAGTCTTTATTAAAACGTAGACGCTTTCATCGATCGTGCATGTTTTTTAAAAGCTTTAATGCTCTTATAGATTTTAAACTTAATCAAATACGTAGGTCTAATCTTCATCACCATAACACTAGATCGGGAAGTGATCTTATCATTCCAGTAGATGGAACGAACTAGGGTCAAAGTTGATCAGATTTCCTCTTTATTGATAAATTCATTGAACTGCCAAAGTCACTGACAGAAGTACATCTTTTTAAGTGAACATTTATGAACATTTTGACATGATTAATTTAATATGAACATTTATTTTTATCTGTAATATAGAACTAACTTATATCGATAAATTTTTATGACTAGTTCAGATTTTATTATTTGTATATATTCAAGTTTAAATAAGTATTTATATTGTATAACTTTCAGGGCTCTCATGAAAATCACTCTTGGTGACTGAGACCTCCTCGTAAAAGAACGTGCAAATAAACAAGGAAATACGAGTAGAAGTTTTGTACACACTAAGTTTACATTCAATAAAATAAAACATGACGTAGAACGAACCTGGGGCCGGTTGTATCAAAGCCGGATAGCGCTATCCACCGGATAGTGATTTTTTCAACCGTTCTAAAAATGCTTGAAAAGCGATAAAATTTCAGCTTGGAAGCAACAATTATTTAAGAGGATCTTCGATTTAGGAATACTAAAATTTAATCAAAGTTTTAGCAAATAACGGGCGATTTTGAAGCGATTGAAAAAACACTATCCGGTGGATAGCGCTATCCGGCTTTCATACAACCGGCCCCTGTGTACTACAAAATGAACTCCATATAAACATGACATTCTGCTTAGACGAGTTTCCCGGCCAAGTGGAATAAGGACGTCCCGTCCCAGCTAGACGGGATCATATACATAAACTGATAAACAGGCTCTTAGTACCCTCGCCCGGCGCTTCGAAGCGGTTCGGGGAAAATGAACACGGTGTTTTAGGAATCAAGGATATTATGAAACGGGAAGTCCGTCTAATATAATTTTACTGTCGCAGAAAGACAACATAAAGAATTTTAAAACCTCTCGACAGAGCCTGGGAAACATTTTGACACACGTCTTGGTATCAGTGTATGGAATGAGACGTTTTCGTATTTTAAGCTATGTTGGTCATCATATCTTTCTCATGCAGTTTTTTTCAAATGAATCCAAAATACATCGGTAAAGGTCAGGGTTGGTAGATTTTATGAATAAATAAGCCAAATATATTAACATAACATTTGTTTTCTTTGTTTAAAACAAAGGAATCAAAGGGCCGCCAATAACAATGTTTGGCTTATTTATTCAGTAACTTACCAACCCTGGTAAAGGTATATACATAGAGCGAATATCACACATTAACATTAAATCGCCAAAAGTTATAAAGGCATGTTTTCGTTTTATTGTGTGCCAAATACTCTCTTAAAATCAGCTTTGAATAAACAGATTTTGGCTGATTTGACCAGCCAGATAATAAAACGGGTACAGTCAAAATGATTTTACCATATGTTTTCTCGCACAGTTTATATATTTTTTAAACTGAATGCATGGTACCTGTTCGTTTTGATTGCGAACCTCAAACTGCAGATCGTTGTTACTTCAAATTTCTTCCTCGAAACTTGTGATATAGTTGATCGCTTTATACCAGTCCGTCTTTGAACGATGTTAGTGCATGTGAGACTCCAGTCTGATATAATATGAAACTGGTAAACAAACAGGAAGTTCGGTTGCAAATCAAAAGTCAGGTGATTTCTGTTGACACGGGGTCAGGGTAAATCAAGGGCAAATTTCTCTCCTTGACGTGAGTTACTACAGGGAATCTTGACATCATTGATTTAATAGATAGCATCAAATGTGGTGTAACAACTGCCTAAAATAGAGAAAACACTTCTCGACGTTTCGACCTGAGGGCCTTCGTCAGGAGAGTTAGTATAACTAACTAGAGTTAAACATGAAGACGCTGCCACGCTACTCCCTGACCCTGATTATATTGGAACTTATATTGATTTAGTAGATATGTCAATCTTTCGTAATCCCTCTATAATTAAAGAAATATGTTGTATCGGTTTGTGGTAGCTGAGAAAACTACAAAAAGCAAAACACATGATTTTTGAAATATGAAATAAATTTATATATAACTTTCACTGATGATTGTCGTAGTCATCAAATACAAGGAAACCTAATTTCTTTGTAACGTGATATGGTGCAAATGAAATTCGTGTTATGGCAGGATAAGTTAAAAGGAATCTAATTTCTGTCTCGGAACGTACTTGGAAATCTCTTGGAGGCTCACTAGGAGATCTGAAAGCTGTTCAGAGACTTACGTATATACACAAGGTTTCTAATTTAGACGATTTGTTTTTACCACATGCAAGCTTTACATCGTTAATGCAAAACATAGCTATTTGAAGTAGCTAAAATCATAAATCTAACGTATAACGAATTGCACCTAGCTCCGTGTACCAATCTACAAACCAATTTCCGAAATGATTAATTGAAATATGAAGTTTAAAATATACATACAACGCGCGGAGACATTATTTATCTTCTTGGTTCAAATTCGCGTGCAGTGTAAAGCAATTTATGGCAATTTTTATGCGCTGACTATATTGGCTTTTAAAAAGCTGCAACTGAAACTGCTCACTTTTTTTTATGCCGTCCTGGAAAATATGGCGGTCAAATCATAAAATGATATTTTCGAAAATTTGTTGAATGTTTAACAAATTTCACATGTCAGTTTGACAGAGTCGATTACGAGAATTTGAATACACTCGTGAAATCAGATTTTATTTTTCCTCGGCTAAAATCCGTGCGATATAGCTGTGTGATAATTGTAGCTAATTTGTTCAAACGCACAAATAAAGTCATGAATTCGGCTTACAGGAAGTAGTTAGTCAGCTTATAGGCTTTGAGAGATCTGAACGAGTGGGTAACTAACAGATATACAAATAAATGCACTCAGTGATATATCAGATCATTTATGACTTCCCACTCGTTCACATAGATCAAAAGAAGAAAATCGCCGATTTATTTCATCGAAGAGGCACATACATACGGACCCTTTGGAACATACGCAATAGCGAATTTGCAAAAATCAATAATTGACCAGCGACCTGATTTCAAAAAATTATTAATCAAAAAAGTGAAACAAAAAAACACATTTAATACATTCTAGTTTTAATGCTTTGAAAGTTATCGCAATCGAATCGAGTTTTTGAAGTGGCGACTTCGGCTTTTTGCCCTTTATGAAAAGTAAATCAACAAGGTATAGAAGCTTAAGGCTTAATTTGGAATGCGCGCGACTTCTGTATAGCCATAGCAATAGCCACAAATTAGTTTTGCAAATTAGGAAACACAATGAAGTCATTCCTTCCCATCGCCATTTTGAGCATTCAAATGCGTCAGAAACAGCTTTTCAATGCCCAGTTAAACAGGGAGGCTTGGTTCACCTTTATGCAGACGTTTTAAATTTTGACGTTTTCGAATTAATGCAACCCACAGCTGTGAGATCATGCACTGAGACGGCTATTTTCAGGCTTAAAGTACACATTAGGTTATTATAAAACTCAGACGATTCGTTTTCGCCCTGCATACAAGCTGCATTATCATACAGCGGTTTCCGTTTGACTGCAAAACAACAAGCGTTCGCAACTTATGTTGGCTAGTTTAATCCCCATCGGGAGAGTTTTCCCGGTACTGGTAAATCTTAAAGCAGCTAATATCGCAAATAATGATCGAAAGGGCTCATAACAAAGGCTACTGTCGGCGCTGATGGTGACATTATGGCGCAATATGCCTAGATTAATTATAGCTGCCACAAAGGCACGTTAACAGCGACTTACATAAACGCAATAAATACTGCGTGGTTAATACGGGTTATCAAGCGCTTTCAAGAACTCACGTCGCTTTTAACGTTTTGACCCCCACACGCTCTGAGAGAAAAATATCTCAATTAACTGAATTAGGTTCGACATTGTGATTTGTGAACCCGTGAGTAGATTTAGGGTGGAACTTCATAAAGACCAATTTCTGGGCGTTGATTAAACACTGTCATATCATAATGCCATATAGACTTTATATATACTTATAGTAGCCTGCTTCGATGATTGATAAGCCGCGTTTATACACTTCAGGCCTAGACTGACCTGGACCAGGTCTAGGACATGTCTAGGCACTATATGCCAAGTTCACACTGTCTTCCTTTTTGATGCATGATATCGGAAAGCCAAAGTAATTGACAAAATACTTGGAAAAAGACCCAAAACACGCTGAAAAGTGGTAATACTATTTAGGTTGCAATGTTTTCATTATGACCCTAAAAAAGGTGAACTAATTCAACTGACATAAAACCATAACAAAAGTAGTCAAATAAAAGTAATCGCGGTCTAGCGGTGGAGACAGTGATTTCGCTAACGATAAATCGACGGCTGAGTTTAAATTCCGGAAAAAAATGACGTTAAAACAGGACAAAAGCGGTTTTCTACAAGGCGGAATTTTTTGACTGAACGAAAGTTTTCGTCTAATTTTCTTTTCAATTGTGAGAATTCGACAACAGCGGATTCTCTTCACTGAATACAATTGAAAAGAAAATCTGGCGAAAAATTTCGTTCGATCGAAAAATTCCGTTTATGGTGGAAAACCGGCTTAAAGTTAATCACTAATTGCGGCCATATTCGTATTCTGAAAGCTGACGTCATCTATGCTTTCTGCGGATATCATTTCGGCTTTCATGCCCGCGCATGCGCAGTAGGCGATCAGGATATATGTAAGTAAAAGTACGGATTAACAATATTGGACCAAACTGCAGGAAACAGTAACATTTATTAATAAAAATGAACTGGTTATTTAGCTACAATCCCTAATTCTAGTTTTAAATGTATTGAAACTGATTGTCCCATTTATAATTTTCTCTTTCTATAAGCAATCGACTATATGTTTGCTCACTTAGCGAAGATATTGGCTGATCAAAAATCCCTCAATTAATGCTGAATAGTTAGCTAGTTTTCTGAAGATTATAATTATATAAAGTTGGCAAAAACATCAAGTACGTGGTCTTCTTCACATATCACAAATCTTTCCTTTTCCTGTCTCATGCTCACATCCCTCAGACTTGTTTCCATACTTGTCAGTGATTACCACTCTCAAGACATCTGTATCTGGGTAACTCCAACTACCAAATGCGTACATTTCACTCTTCGACCCAGACAGCACAGTCGTCACATCTTGGAAAATTTTCTCATCATTGCTCCATTTCGCAGAGTATTTTCCCGAAAACTTGAAAATTGCTTTCCACTTGTACTCCAAGTCCTGGACAGTTCTCAGAAGGTTGATAGTGATTCAGTGTTTTTCGGTACTTCAATGGAAACATCCGTCTTATCCGTTGTCGTGTACGTTGTTGTATTAATGGATTCAGAGTTAAAATATTTTGTTTTCGTAATTCAAATCCGAAGGAGGCCCCGATACCAAACTTAGGTGCACTGACTTGCGCAGACCCCAATGTCACCGCCACAGAGAATCCTGAACCGACCTTTAAGGTGGATGAAGTTGATACAGATGTCGTGAGCCATTTGGTACACTTGTATGGATTGGAATGAGCGGAGCATATGACAGGACGAAAGCCTGGGACAGGTTCAGGTTTGGCGACGTTCAGTGGCGATTTGTCTTCGATGCTGAATTTCAATGCATTAATTTCCAACATGTTGGAGCGATCGGAGATGGCACTGCATTTGTATGTGTTGCTATCAGCAGATTTATCCATCGCATTCATTGAGCACTGCTTGAGCTGTCCTTGATCTTTAACTTTATCACAAGATCCGGTCTTTCTACCCACGAGTTTCCATTGTAAGCTCCCATCTTGCAGCATTTAAACTCTTCCAAGCAGTATAATTTGTGACATGAGCTCCTGTATAAACCCGCCATGTAGAATCCAGGTTTACATTTAGTCCATCCTCTGTTATTAAATGACTTCCAGGCATTGTGATTGTAACATTCTCCCCATCGTGTAACCTGAGTCTTCGGTCGGCAGCATTTGGCTTCTTCGATGTGGTATAGTTTATTTCCCGAATTTCGCCAGAGTCCGGTCATGTAGTATCCATTTTTGCATGTAGACCAACCTTTGTTGTTGAAACTTTTCCACCAGTTGTGGTCGTAACAATGCTGATCCTTTTTTGCAGAATACAGGTCGCCAGGTGCATCGACACAATATGCTTTCTCAATGAGATAAATGTAATCATTGCTCCTACTGCTGTGCCTGTATAATCCCGCCATGTACCTGCCACGCCCACAGGTTGACCAACCTCGACAGTTAAACGATATCCAGTTCTCCTCGTGATCTCCTGTAGTCGGTTTTGTAACAAATGATTTCATGTAATTCCGGAATCCTGTATTTGTCTGCCACTGGTGACTTAGTCTACGAAGTACTTCTTTCGCGACATCAATGTTGCCAACGACACTCACGGTATAAGCACTGGGTCCACCGCAGCAGCTTTGAGCTCCATGACAGGACGACCACGATCTACATCTGCTGGTGCATTGACTGTCGTTCACTTTATTCCCCCTGGGATAGACATTTCCACACTGACATTGGTCCCCTTTCGTTGCCGCGAAAATGTAACCTTTATCTCTGCATGTTTCTTGGCATTTTACGTTGGAGTTGTGACCCCTCATCTGTTTTGTCAGATTTGCGGCTGGAAATAAGGAGTAGCAACCTTCAACGGCGTAGGAACTTACTGATCGTTTCTTCCGAGTTTCAACATCTGTCGTTGATGTTATCATTGGTATCAAAACGGTTAGCAAAAGAAATGCTTTCAGGAGAAGCATGTTGAATCTCTAAAAAAAACCGAAACATGTTCTCGTGAATGATCCGCAATTTTGAACAAACTAAAACCAAATTCTTTGTGGACTATATAAAGACAGAATTGGTGGTTGCACTTTTTTACGTTAAATAGATACGTAGCTATTACCATGCACTATATATTATTCAACAATTGTCCCCCAAAGACGATTTTTTCATCTCGTCTTAAACTCGCGCATGCGCATAACTTCAATTTCAAACTTTCGTAATGCTATCACGATCATTTGCCTCAACTTGTGCCCAGTGCTCCGCACGCTGTGAATAACGCGCAATATGACACTCGTAAGTAAACAAAATGTCGCAAAGACCTAAGCGAAGCTACGTCATCTGATACGTTTTGCCAAACAATACGGTGACTAAGCCTTTGTCTTAATGCTCCGGAAAAAGTCCGCAAATAATGAAAGTGTTTACTAGATTGAGGTACGAGAAGTAGATCGTGATAGAAACTTGTTGCGCATTCACTACAAGGGATACAGCGACAAGCACTTGAATACATAATGAGCAGTTAAACAATATCCAAACCCACATATTTGGGCTCATTTTGCCATTCCGAAATTGTCAAAAATATGCATAAATTTACTATCAAAATACGCGGAATTTGACGAAGATTCAAATTCTGGCGTAACTTAAGGCATAGACCTTTGCACTACGTTCTAGAGCCAGTTTTCTGCAACAGATTGTGTGCACTGCTCGCATCGGACAAGCGAAAGTGTCATTCGAAATAAGAATTATTTTCAAACGAAAGTGCATTCAAAAGATGTCCCAGAACATATACTTTCCATCACCCAGATGCTTCCTAAATACGAATCTGAGAGTAGCTACAAGAAGCCCAGGCAAAAAAACTTTGTATTGTACACACTAAGTTTACATTCAATAAGATAAAACATGACGTAGGACGAAACTGTACAACAAAATGAAGTTCATATAAACACGACGTTTTGCCTAGGCGAGTTTCCCGGCCAAATGAAATGAAAACGTCCCGTCCCGGCTAGACGGAATCATATACATAAACTGATAAACAGGCTCTTATTACCCTCGCCCGGCGCTTCGAAGCGGTTCGTGGAAAATGAACACGGTGTTTTACGAATCAAGAATATTATGAAACGGGAAGTCCGTCTATAATATAATTCATTTTACTGTCGCAGAAAGACAACATAAAGAATTGTAAAACCTCTCGACAGAGTTTGTGAAACATTTTGACACAGGTCTTGGTATCAGTGTATGGAATGAGACGTTTTCGTATTTTTAGCTATGTTGGTCAATATGAAGAATGTTTTTTTCAAATGAGTCCAAAATACATCGTTAATGCTATACATGCATAGAGCGAATATCACACATTAACATTAAATCGCAAAAAGTTATAAAGGCATATTCTCGTTTCATTGTGTGCCAAATACTTTCTTAAAATCAGCTTTGAATAAACAGATTTTGGCCGATTTGACCAGCCAGATAATAAAACTAGTACAGTCAAAATGATTTTACCATATGTTTTCTCACACAGTTTATAATTCTTTTAAAATGCTACCTGTTCGTTTTGATTGCAAACTTCACTGAACTGCAGATCGTTGTTACTTCAAATTTCTTCCTCGAAACTTGTGATATAGTTGATCGCTTTATACCAGTCCGTCTTTGAATGATGTTAGTTCATGTGAGACTCCAGTCTTATATAATATGAAACTGGTAAACAAACAGGAAGTTCGGTTGCAAATCGAAAGTCAGGTGATTTCTGTTGACACGGGGTCAGGGTAAATTAAAGGGAAATTTCTCTCCTTGACGTGAGTTACTACAGGGAATCTTAACATTGATTTGATAGATAGCATCAAATGTGATATAACAACTGCCTAAAATATAGAAAACACTTCTCGACTTTTCGACCTGAGGGCGTTCGTCAGGAGAGTTAGTATAACTAACTAGAGTTAGACATGAAGACGCTGCCACGCTACTCCCTGACCCTGATTATATTGGAACTTATTTGATTTAATAGATATGTCAATCTTTCGTAATCCCTCTAATTAAAGAAATAATTATGTTGTATCCGTTTGTGGGATACAAGGGAACCTAATTTCTTTGTAACGTGGTATGGTGCTAATGAAATGACACCACAGAAATTCCTGTTATGACAGGATAAGTTAAAAGGAATCTAATTTCCGTCTCTGAACGTACTTGGAAATCACTTGGAGGCTCACTAGAACATCTGTTCAGAGACTTAAGTATATATACACAAGGTTTCTATATTTAGACGATTTGTTTTTACCACATGCTAGCTTTACATCGTTAATGCAAAACATAGCTATTTGAAGTAGCTAAAATCACGAATTGCACCTAGCTCCCTTTACGAATCAACAAACCAATTTCCGAGATGACTAATTGAAATATGAAGTTTAAAACATACACACAACGCGCGGAGACATTATTTACCTTCTTGGTTCAAATTTGCGTGCAGTTTAAAGCAATTTATGGCAAATTTTTTGCGCTGACTGATAAATATGGCGGTTAAATCCGTGATAAAATGGTATTTTCGAAAATTTGTTAATTGTTTAACAAATTTCACATGTCAGTTTGACAGAGTATATTAAGAGAATTTGAATACACTCGTGAAATCAGATTTTATTTTTACTCGGCCGAAATCCGCAACAATTGTCCGTTACTGCATGACGTAGACATTACCATCATGGAGGCTGGTAAAGTAAAAAAATACCATAGAAAAATTATTTCGGTGAATGCCTAGGTTTTGGAAGTGCTATTTAGGTTGCAATGTTTTTCATTATGACCCTAAAAAAGGTGACTAACTAATTAAACGGACATAAAACCATAAAACACAAGTAGTAAAATACAAGAAATCGCGGTCTAGCGGTGGAGACAGTGATTTCGCTGACACTAAATAGACGGCTGAGTTCAAATTCCGGAAAAAATTGACGTTAAAACAGGACAAAAGTGGTTTTCTATTATGCCGAAGTTTTGGACTGAACGAAAATTTTTGTCTAATTTTCTTTTCAATTGTGAGAATTCGACAACAGCGGATTCTCTTCACTGAACACAATTGAAAAGAAAATCTAGCGAAAAATTTCGTTCGATCGAAAAATTCCGTCTATAGTGGAAGACCGGCCATATTGCGGCCATATTCGTATTCTGAAAGCTGACGTCATCTATGCTATCGTGCGGATATCATTTGGGCTTTCATGCTCGCGCACGCGCAGCAGGCAATCAAGATATATGTAAGCAAAAGTACCGGCGGATTAACAATATTGGACCAAACTGCAGGAAACATTAACATTTATTAATAAAGATGAACTTGTTATTTAGCTACAATCCCTGATTTTAGTTTAAATGTATTGAAACTGATTGTCCCATTTATAATTTTCTCTTTCTATAAGCAATCGACTATATGTTTGCTCACTTAGCGAAGACATTGGCTGATCAAAACAGCCACAAAAAATACTGAATAGTTAGCTAGTTTTCTGAAGATTATAATTATATAAAGTTGGCAAAAACATCAAGTACGTGGTCTTCTTCACATATCACAAATCTTTCCTTTTCCTGTCTCATGCTCACATCCCTCAGATTTCATATTCCCATACTTGTCAGTGATCACCACTCTCAAGACATCTGTATCTGGGTAACGCCAACTACCAAATGCGTACATTTCTCTCTTCGACCCAGACAGCACAGTCGTCACATCTTGGAAAATTTCCTGATCATTGCTCCATTTCGCAGAGTATTTTCCCGAAAACTGAAAAATTGCTTTCCACTTGTACTCCAAGTCCTGGACAGTTCTCAGAAGGTTGATGGTGATTTCAGTGTTTTTCGGTACTTCAATGGAAACATCCGTCAAATCCGTTGTCGTGTGCGTTGTTGTATTAGTGGATTCGGCGTTAAAATATTTTGTTTTCGTAACTTCAAATCCGAAGGAGCCCCCGATACCAATCTTAGGTGCACCGACTTGCGCAGACGCCAATGTTGTCACCGCCACAGAGAATCCTGAGCCGACCTTGAAGGTGGATGAAGTTGATACAGATGCCGTGAGCGATTTGGTGCACTTGTATGGATTGGAATAAGCGGAGCATATGACAGGACGAAAACCTCGGACAGGTTCAGGTTTGGCGACGTTCAGTGGCGATTTGTCTTCGATGTTGAATTTCAATGCATTAATTGCCAACATGTTGGAGCGATCGGAGATGGCACTGCATTTGTATGTGTTGCTATCAGCAGATTTATCCATCGCATTCATTGAGCACTGCTTGAGCTGTCCTTGATCTTTAACTTTTATCACAAGATCCGGTCTTTCTACCCACGAGTTTCCATTGTAAGCTCCCATCTTGCAGCATTTAAACTCTTCCAAGCAGTATAATTTGTTACATGAGTTTCTGTACAACCCCACCATGTAGAATCCAGGTTTACATTTAGTCCATCCTTTGCGATTGAATGATTCCCAGGCATTGTGATTGTAACATCGTCCCCATCGTGTAACCTGGGACTTCGGTCGGCAGCATTTGGCTTCTTCGATGTGGTATAGTTTATTTCCCGAATTTCGCCAGAGTCCGGTCATGTAGTAACCGTTACTGCACGTAGACCAACCTTTCTTGTTGAAACTTTTCCACCAGTTGTGGTCGTAACAATACTGATCCCTTTTTGCAGAATACAGGTAGCCAGGCGCATCGACACAATATGCTTTCTCAATGAGATAAATGTAATCACTGCTCCTTCTGCTGTGCCTGTATAATCCCGCCATGTACCTGCCACGCCCACACAGTGACCAACCTCGACGGTTAAACGATATCCAGTTCTCCTCGTGATCTCCTGTAGTCGGTTTTCTAACAAGCGTTTTCATGTAATTCCGGAATCCGGTATTTGTCTTCCATTCGTGACTTAGTCTACGAAGTACTTGTTTCGCGACATCAATGTTGCCAACGACGCTCACAGAATAAGCACTGGGTCCACCGCAGCAGCTTTGAGGTCCATGACAGGACGACCACGATCGACATCTGCTGGTGCATTGACTGTCGTTCACTTAATTTCCCCTGGGATAGACATTTCCACAGTGACATTGGTCCCCTTTCGTCGCCGCCAAAATGTAACCCTTTCCTCTGCATGTTTCTTGACACATTACATTGGAGTTGTGACCCCTCATCTGTCTTTTCAGATTTGCGGCTGGAAATAAGGAGTAGCAACCTTCAACGGCGTGGGAATTAATTGATCGTTTCTTCCGAGTTTCAACATCTGTCGTTGATGTTATCATTGGTATCAAAACGGTTAGCAAAAGAAATGCTTTGAGGAGAAGCATGTTGAATCTCTAAAAATAAACGAAACATGTTCTCTTGAATGATCCGCAATTTTGAACAAACTAAAACCAAATTCTTTGTGCATTATATAAAGACAGAATTGGTGGTTGCACTTTTTTACGCTAAAATAGATACGTAGCTATTACCATGCACTATATATTAATCAACAATTATCCCCCAAAGGTGATTTTTTCATCTCGTCTTAAACTCGCGCATGCGCATAACTTCAATATCGAACTTTCGTAATACTATCACGATCATTTGCCTCAACTTGTGTCCAGTGCCCTGCACGCTGTGAAAAACGCGCAATATGACACTCGTATGTAAACAAGATGGCGCAAAGACCTAAGCGAACCTTACGTCAACCGATACGTTTTGCCAAACAATACGGTGACTGCACTTCTAAGCCTTTGTCTAAATGCTTTAAAAAGTCCGCAAATGATAAAAGTCTTTACGAGATTGAGGTACGAGAAGTAGATCGTAATAGAAACTTGTTGCCCATTCACTACAAGGGATACAGCGACAAGCACTTGAATACATAATGAATACACTTGAATACATAATCTTTGCGCTCATTTTGCCATTCCGAAATCGTCGAAAATATGCATAAATTTATTATCCAAATACGCGGAATTTGACGAAGATTCAAATTCTGGCGCTATCTTGAGGTATAGACCTGCGCGCTACGTTCTAGAGCCAGTTTTCTGCAACAGACTGTACGCGCGGCTTGTTTCTTCCATATAAACCTGGACAAGTCGTGCAATCGCATCGGACAAGCGAAAAGTGGCATTCGAAATAAGAATTATTTTCAAACGAAAGTGCATTCACAAGATTTCCCAGAACATATACTTTCCATTACTGATACTTCCTAGACACGAATGTATGAGTACAAGGAGCGCAGGCGAAAAAAATTGAAATTTTGCGGTAAATTTGTATTGCAACACTTGGAAATATGACACGCGAAATACGAGTAGACGTTTTGTACACATTAAGTTTGATATGTACAACAACGCCCAAAGTTCATGACATAATGGCGGACAAATTCAATCAAGCAATTGCATTCCCGGGCGTATCAAGGATATTATGAAACGGGAAGTCCGTCTAATATAATTCATCTTACTGTCACGAAAAGATAACATAAAGAATTTTAAAGCTCTCGAGAAAGCTTAGTACCCTCGCTAGCGCTTCGCAGCGGTTCGGGGAAAATGAACACGGTGTTATATTAAGGATATTTAGGATATTATGAAACGGGAGGTCCGTCTAATATAATTCATTTTACTGTCACGGAAAGATAACATACAGAATTTTAAAGCTCTCGACAAAGCTTAGTACCCTCGCCGGCGCTTCGCAGCGGTTCGGGGAAAATGAACACGGTGTTATATTAAGGATATTTAGGATATTATGAAACGGGAAGTCCGTCTAATATAACTCATTTTACTGTCACGGAAAGACAACATAAAAAATTTTAAAACCTCTCGACAGATCGAATCTGGGACCTTTGCTGTTCTTAGTCTACATTAACGACATGTCAAATTACATCGCAAACAACTCGACAGTAGCTTTATTTGCAGACGATTCCAAGTTGTACAGAACAATAAAGAATGAATTCGATGATATATAAATTTACAAGATGACTTATTGGAACTAAGTCGTTGGAGTAGCGATTGGAGTATGACGTTCAATGTCATAACTGAATGCAAGGTCTTAAATGAAAAATATTTCGAAGAAACTTAACAAAGTCGGACGGTCGTACATGCTTAATTCCACCATGCTTGAATCATCCAAACAACAGATCTAAAGGATTAACAGTAACAAATACGTTGACTTGGAATAACCATATAGAGGAACCTAACCGCAAATTGGGGTTGATCCGTCGAATTTGCAAAGAAAACAGTGATGTTGAAACAAGAAAACTGTCATATATTTCTATTGTTAGACCCCAGCTTGAGTATGCGAGTGAAGTCTGGTCACCATTTACTATTAAACTTAAATTATTAATAGAAAATGTACAACGCCGTGAAACGAAATTCATCCTGGGATATCCAAACAATATGAGCTATAAACAAAGATTATCACAATTATCCCTTCTTTCATTAGAATATAGAAGGGAGATGGCTGATCTTGTACTTCTTTTTAAATCTCATTATCACTGTCCGGCAAGGTTTTGATTATTCCAAATTTATTCAGAAAGTTCCGGAAAAAAAATATTCTACTAGAAATTTTAATCCTAATAACTTTAGAATAAATTTTGTAAAACAAGACTATACTTGAAGTATTTTTACTTCAATAGAGTATAGCTTCGCTATGGAATAACTTACCTGGAGATTTAAAAAGTGTTTATACACTGGCGGTCAAAAAGAACTGCTCAAAACAAGTTAAAATGCTCTCAAATGAACATAACTGTCCCTCTAACAATATATACGAGTAAATATAGACTAGATTACATGCTAAGCTGTATGAAATATTAATATTTTGTTGACCCTCCTTTGGCCTTATAATTGATGACGGCCTTACACCGGCTTAGCATACTTTCTGTTAAGGTGGTAATCTTAACGGTCAAAAGAAAATCATCCTATGGACAGTCTTCACAGCAACCCATAAATCATGGACGCTTTATGAATTAATTCCTCTCTTGCACTATCCCCTTGACATTTTCCCACAGATTTTCAATAGGGTTAAGGTATTTTGACTGTGCAGGCCAATCCATTTCTGTCACTCCCTCTTCCTGCAACCATTGTTTGACTATATCTTGGAAGTGTGGCAGGTTGTATTACATTATTGAAATATTATTTGGAATAAGAGAATTAAACAAAATGCCTATGAAGCTCTCTCCTCTATTCGCTTCTTTTTTATGAAATTGTATCTAAACAGTTCTTTTTGACCGCTAGTGTACAATAAAAGATAGGTTGTCACGCTTCCTGCCAGTGCATGTAATTTAAATCTTTTTAAAACGAAACTACAGGCTTATTATAAGAGGAAGTTTGAAACTGATTACTCACTTCCCGGTACTGCATAGCTATTTTCAAACTTGTACATATGCTTTTACGTATTTATTTGTAAATTATTGTGACTTAGTGTCTTTGGTGGTATAGATTTCAATTGGGACATTGTGTCCTGTTTCTTCATCCTGTCGCTAATATTATGTAATATTGTGACGAATTTTATTAAATTCAAATTCAAACAAGACGCCCGGCAGGCGTTAACTCGGGCTCAATAAATACACTGCACTGAAAGTCTGAAACTGAGCTATATTGATACACTGTATTGTCTGAATATACGCGACTGTCCGCGCGGAAGACTAAGCCTGCGACACGAAAAAAAAATAATCGCGAAACCTAGACTCGGCTACCCGAGTAAAAATACAAGGGAACCTAATTTGTTTGTAACGTTATAGGGTGCTGATAAGATGACAGGATATGTTAAAAGGAATCTAATTTCCGTCTCGGAACGTACTTGGAAATCTCTTGGAGGCTCACTAGGACATCTGTTCAGAGACTTAAGTATATACACAATTAGGTTTCTAATTTAGACGATTTTTTTTACCACATGCAAGCTTTACATCGTTAATGCGAAACATAGCTATTTGAAGTAGCCAAAATCATAAAATTTTGGTCTAACGTAAAGCGAATTGCACCTTGCTCCGTATACGAATCTACAAACCAATTTAAATTTTGAAACATCTCGACAAGGTTTGGGAAACATTTTAACATTAAAGCCTTGGAAAATTGCATGGAATGAGGAGTTTTCGTATTTTTAGCTATGTTGACCAATATAAGGGTCTTATCGTTTTCGGCAGGCAGTTTTTAAAAAATCCAATATATATCTGCGGTAAATTAGACAGGTATATTAGATTGGGTCTATACAGCTGATTCAATTAAGTTTGTGACAGGCAATAGCCCAATGTATATTCCACGCGCAAGAGGCATGAAGGGATTGATGACATTTTATGCATATAATTATGCAACGAATGAAGTTATTATTGGAAAAGCATTGTTGAGTATAAATATAATCATCTCGTGGGAATAGTGTGAGGATGAACTTAAGGCTGTTATTATACTGTATAGCGGTAACGTGGAATACACGTTGTTTTGTATTATAGAAATAACCGAAATCTGCTAATCAACCGTAGTGTAAAAATGCCCCGTGCTTACAGTGCGCGCAGACCTGCGATGGAGAGCGATTTTTTTGACTGATATTTGTGGACTATCTGTACAAGCGGCTGCTTTCTTCTTGCAAATATCAGAGATGTCGGTTCGTCGCTACGTTGGCAAATTTCAAACAACAGGAAACGTTAACACGGAGATCCACCAAATGCACTATTTATCAATCTAACTGTTTGCTCGCCTGCAAAGTGCAACCACAAACTATTGTGATAAATGCACATGTTCCTTTGGGAATTGCAAAATCACCGCATTTTTCATATGTGTCTTTTGTACTCTGTTTTTTGCATAGTGTCATTGTTTTGTCGAATGATAACATAATAAAATAATTAGCGTCCATTAACGACACCATTTAAAATATGTCGATGCATTAGTTAGTCAAATGCACTGGACCCATGACACTGTTCGCGCTTACAATTTACATTTGCCTATTGCCTGTCACAAACTTAATTGAATCAGCTGTATATATATACAGGGTGTCCCAAAAAAAACGAAAACTATTGAAATCACCCATAACAATGTAATTGTCAGAGTTTGAATGCCTAAGCACTCTGTTGGGACCCACAAGTGTGTAAATGTTTGCCATAAGCATTTTTATGCATGCATATAATGCAGTAAAATTTGCTCGTACGCGAAAATGATATTTATTAACAATATTTAAATGTGCATCTCAATCACCATGACCTTCGACATGTCCCCTTTCTGTAGCAACACAAAGCATTTAGCATTTTACTGAGTTGCATTAAATCCCCATGGGCTCAAATTCGTGCACACGGCATTCAAATTTTAACAATGAGTGATTTCAATAGTTTTCGGTTTTTTTGGGACACCCTGTAGAGAGAGAGCGCATTACCACACACTAATAAATCAGTAGAAGTCAATAAATTAGAATGCATTTTTCTTGTCATTTTGCCAAATCTTCTCTTAAAATCCACGATGCAAAAGCAGATTTTCACTGATTTGACCATGCAGTCAGATAATATAATCGGTACTGTCGAAATATTTTACGTGTTCTCTCGTACAGTTTATAGTTCTTTTAAAATCTTACCTGTTCGTCTTGATTTCGGACTTCAAACTACACACCGTTGTTTCTTCAAATTACTTCCTCGAAGCTTGTGATATAGTTGATCGTTTTTCACCAGTCCGTCTTTGCACAATGTTAGTGTAAGACTGTCTGAGCAGTGCAAATGATCACCAACTTATAGGTGGGGATAACGAATGAAATTTGCAAGCAAACAGGAAGTTCATCTTCCAAGTAAAAGTCGGGTGATGTTAGCTTGCGAATTAATTGTCAAAGCCGACTATAACAAATATATGATTATCATTGCTAATTCTCGAAGTGCGAGTTGTGCAATGTTTATCAAATACAAGGAAAACGACTCGACTTGAGAGTGATAGGGCGCTAATGAAATGACACCGCAGAAATTGGTGCTTCGAAAATTTAACTCGAGAAACTCTTTGGTTCACGTTTGTGCATTTCTGTTTTGATCTCAATTAAAATACTACTAGATAAGTTCATATTTCCCCAGCCGAAAATTTAAAAAGTAAAGTAAAAAAAATCAGAATAAACAGGACATCTTGAGAGTCAAAATATGAATCAAACGAGAACACTCGCCTGTTTGAAAACGCCCTCAGATCGAAACGTCGAGATGTATTTTTGTCTATTTTATAGGCCTAGGTTTGAAAACAAGACACAGGCTTGAGACTGTAAATTTTCGATTATATTTCAAAGTCATCTTTAGAGAGAATGACATTGCTTTCACTTTAAGTTCAAATTTCCTTTTCCGAAGTACTTTGAGAGCTCTTGACAGCTCACAAAACCATGATTTTTCTTAACCCTGTGCAAGCTTCAAATCTTCAATGCAAAACGCATTTTGCTCGGTATTTATAAATAACAAACTGCGGCAAAAGTCTATATGAATGCAAACCAATTTTCACGATGCCAAATGAAATATGAACTTTAAAATAATAAAACAAACAATGGATATTGTTAACTTTCCTGTTGTTGGATATTGTTCCTGTTGTTGTTCATAATTATTTTGCTGAGCACTTAAAATTTTTTTTTCTTACCATGCAAATAAGTCAGTATTCATATCAGTTGAGGACTTCTTTATTCCGCGATTCTTTATTCATGAATGTAAACCAATTTCCGCTGTGCCTACAATGAAATAATAGGAAGTTTACGATATACGACGCGGTCAGCTCGATGTAGTTGAAAATTAATTTATTTTGCTTGAATTGAGCCACAGGAAATTAATTATGCTGCCATAGCAGGACTCTGAAATAAACATTGAACGTTGTATTAATGCCGTTCTGGGAAAAAGATTCGGTTCAATCATGAAATGGTATATTCGAAAATTTGTTGAATTATAAGTAATTATAACAAATATTTGTCCAATTATAACCCAACTCGCTCCATTCTCCTGCATGGGAGCAGATGTACACATGCATGTTCGTGTTTGCCAAATACAATAAAGTCTGAAAAGGAAATTAATCCTGATATTGATGCAGATTTGTAGAAGCGGAAGCCCCCTTGCTGTTAAATGGTATGGTGAACGGTTAATACGTATAACAGCAGTTACGCTTAAATATTAAAAGTAGGTACGCTAAATTATTGATGTGATTACAATTTTTAAGAATTACAAGTCATGAATTCGGCTTATAGGCAGTAGTGAAACGCATAAAATGTCGGTTTACTAAGTAATAGCATGGTCGCCTCGGTTTCTTCTCATTTCCCCCAAGTAGCTATAGGGATGGCGGATACTTAGTTCTAAACGTACCTCATCAATATATTGATGTGGGACGTTCACAACTGAACCATTGTTCATGAATAATAAAGTGAAACAACGAATGCACATTTTGCACACAGACCAACATACGATCTAGGTCACAAGAAGGAAATAAATCATCACAGCTAAAAAGAGTATACCGAAATTAGTATAATTGCCAAGTTTGGTCGCAAAATGTCAGGTGTTACCGAAAATATAGCCATGTAAAGACTAAAGTAGCCAATTTTGTATACTTTTTTTACTATACAGGGTGTCTCAAAAAAAAGAAAACTATTGAAGTCTCCCATAACAATGTAATTGTTAGAGTTTGAATGCCTGAGCACTCTGTTGGAACCCACAAGTGTATAGATGTTTGTACGCAAAAATATTTATTAACAAGATTTACAATTTGTTCTTTGTCGAAAAGCGTCTCGCACTTCCGTTGTACTTTGGACACGCGCATAATTTATCACAATAAACACTCGTTGTTCCGCCGTCAGCTTGTACCATTTTCTTTCGAAGCAACAACAAGGCTAATTTATATTTAATCATATTCACAATGTGAATTTTTCGTATTTAGCATATTATAAGTTACATTAAATCCCCACGGGCTGAAATTTAACAATGAGTGATTTCAATAGTTTTCGTTTTTTTTGAGACACCCTGTATAGTACGGCTGGGAGCTAGCGCTTTACTAATTTAGCTACACACTTCCGGCCGTAGTAAAAAAAATGGCCAAATTCGCATGGCTATAGTTTCCGTACAATATTCTGCAGCCAAACTTGGTAATTGTACTAAATTTAGTATGCACTTTTCAAAGATTTTCTTTTTGTTGCCTAAATCAAAAGTTGGTCTATTATGCAAAATTCCATTAAATTTCACACAACTTTCAATCGTTGGCTGAATCAATTCAATAACAGAATTTACAAACAAAAAGCTCTCGCTCATCATCTCATCACAAAATAAACACATAGCTTTAAACGACATTAGCGGTTATACAGGGTGTCCCAAAAAAAACGAAAACTATTGAAATCACCCATAACAATGTGATTGTTAGAGTTTGAATGCCTCAGCACTCTGTTGGGCCCACAAGTGTGTAAATGTTTGCCATAAGCATTTTTATGCATGCATATGATGCAGTAAAATTTGCTCGTACGCGAAAATAATATTTATCAACAATATTTAAATGTGCATCTGAATCACCATGACCTTTGACATGTCCCCTTTCTCCAACAACACAAAGCATCTAGCATTTCACTGAGTTGCATTAAATCCCCACGGGTTAAAATTCGTGCACACGGCATTCAAATTTTAACAATGAGTGATTTCAATAGTTTTCGTTTTTTTTGGGACACCCTGTATATATTCTAATCACTGAACCATTTCGATAAAGAGATCTCGCTAAACAAAAGCATCTAACCAATAATCGGTTAGGATCAAGGCCTACATATTTTCAATTGAAGTGACAAAACGGGTGCATGAGGGGCAAGATATTGGCTTTTTATGTATTGAATACGAGGAAACACATTTTGCCGAAGAGACTAATTAAGTTGATGCAGTGCAAATGACATCATCAACTTATATAGGCGAGGTGAGGATTGAAATCAACAAACACGCAGGAAGTTCAAATCGTCCGCCCACAAATCATCCGATAGAAGCAGTTTTCTCCTCTCCTTACCGGCTATGCCAATATTTCCAAATTTCCATAATTACTTGCGATATACTTTTCAAAGAACAAATTATATGATAAATATTATAATTATATTTATTTCTATCATGATTCTGGAAGTGGAATAGCATTTCCAACAAATAAGGTAGCCGATTCGAATTTCTTGTCGAATTAAAGTGACAAGGTAATAATGAAATATTAGAAATATCAAACAATGCATGAAAAATTGTTATTCTCAAACTGTTGACGGCTTGCGCATACGCAGCAATCTAAAGACGTGTTCATGTCGAGTGGACGCCTTGCGCTTTAGACTAATTTCTTACCTCGGTGATAAAAAAGGACATTTTTTGAAAGAGCTTACTAAAATAAGTAAAACTGCCAAGTTTGACTGCGAATTGTTGTAAAATACGGAAAATATACCCATGCGAAGTTGTCGATTTTCGTATACTTTTGTATTACGACCGGAAGTTTGTAACTAAATTAGTTACACATTTCCACACGTAATACAAAAGTGTACAAAATTTGCAACTTCGCATGGCTATATTTTCCGTATTTTACAAAATTTCGCAGCCAAACTAGGCAGTTTTACTAATTTAAGTAAGATCTTTCCAGATGGGGTGAATTATTTTCTTCTTGTTACTTCGATCAAAAACTAGTCTAAAGCGCAAGTCGTCCATTTATTGCCCAGGTTCATTTTGCGATTGGTTACTGTAGAAGCTGTAAAACCACTCGCTGGTTACATAATGTCCTGACAAAAATGTGTGGTACACTGCATGATCATGAAATAGTATTTCGAAAATATTGTGTATATGTTAACAAATTTTTACCGGTAATGTTAAGCACATAGCGTGGAGTTATTTGTTAGAATTTCTTCGCACACTCGCTTGTGTCACTTCTGTATATCGTATACTCATAATACGATGTCGAAATACGACGTTGGTTGAAGCGAAACCGGAAGCCTACTTTGTAGTTAAACAAGGTCTTTGTTGAGCACCAAATTTATTCGTTCTGTGTGAGTGGGCGTGTGGGATAGTCTACCGCCGGTCTACGAGCTCCTTTAGGCTTTACTTTTAGGATCAATATACTATATAGTCCTCATAATACTCCCATACTTTTAGGAATATATTATAATAGTCCTTATTGTTTGATAGCTCACTGTTACTGAGATTATGATGACTGCAGTGATATAGAAAATATAAGTGCGAGGTAAATTTGTAGCCATTTGTATTCGATTTATAAATTACTTTTTAGATATACCCAGTAAGCAATTAGAAACAATTTAGATTACCCCTTACTGTGACCATCGGCACAAATTCCGAGTAATGGGGAAGCTGACGTCATTTTAGAGTTTCGCATAAGGTTCAGGCTCTCGCATAAGGTTTAAACTTTCGCATAAGGTTCAGGCAGGCGTATAGCAGGCGAGATATGTAGACAAAGAATTGATAAAACACTATCCTACCTGATTTTAAGAACAATTTATTAAAAAAGATGAACAGGCTGATTCCCTATTCTAATTACAGCTACAGTTTTTCCCAGAAAACGCTAGTCTTAATACACCTGCATCAAGAAAATCCACTTACATGCATTGAGTGGGACATAGGAATTTTTTTATTACTGAACGATGATACTGTCAGTCTAAGTAGATGCAATTATGGAAAATCTGTTAAACTAGCGTTTTTTAGGACACCCTATTTATTCCCAATTCTAGTTCTAATGTTTTGAAAAAAAAACCGCCTCAGCGTAAATGAAATAACTCAATTAATAGTTTTGCTAAATGTTGTAAAGTTTGCAAAAACTTCATGTATGTGGTCCTCCTTACATATTACAGCTCTTTGCTTTTC